AAGTAAGACATTTAAAATATATTACAATAGCCTAAAAAAAAGTCCATTATGGACCGAGAGTTCACTTTTACTTGAAGACTCACTGAATCTGTTGGGCTTTCACCAAGGGCAGAGCTGGATATGCAATTTGCTGCTTAAAAAAAGACATGTTACTGACATAAGATGTTGTTGTTTACTCTATGCTACTGTCATAAAATATTATTTACCCTTTGCTACCGATATAAGATACTGTTGTTTACAGAAAAGAAGAGTTGACAGATTTTATTTGGAGTTCTTTTACACACTTAATATTTCTGTCAACTATTTTAGGCATTAAGATGTTTTAAAAAATTCGGTATTACTAATGAATAACTAATTAGATTAATAACTCGTACGTGTGATAAGTCACTTCCGTTGGACACGTGAGAAAAAAAAATACTGCATGACCTACATAAACTTGTGTACTTTGAACTTAAGACTCTACCAGACGGCATTTCTTGGTTAATCAATCATGAAATTGTTTACGGAAGATTGTATTAAACCAGTGCATGTTTACTGGCAGACATGAATATAATATACTTCGTCCCCTTTACATAACTTTATTTTTTATATATGATAACAAAAGTTAAAAGTACATGTATTTATGTAGATGTATACGTCGCCCTCATACTGTTTGTTAATTGTGAGTAACTGCATTGTTATCGCATTCACTTACTCGGGACTACAATGAAACACGACATTAAAATTCACTACCATGCTCTCGTGGAAATCAATGAACAATGAATTGAAACCCAGTCAACATTGTTTAGGGCTGAGCGCGGCCTACTTGTTAGCGTTCCGGACTGTGGTTCGCGCCCCAGGTCACATAAACTGTTGCAGATTGAGCGAAAAAATCTAATTGCAACACCTGTATTCGCCATCAGATTAATTGTGCCTAGAATTTTATACAAGGTCCCTGGCAAAGTACTCTTTTTAATTGGTAGAAAAATTCTTCGGAAAATAGGTAAGCTTGTTAAAATAACGAAGTTTTTGGAAATCAGTATACTGGAACCAAGATCTTTCGCTTTTTGCTACGATTTTTAACCGCGGCATAGCAGCTCATAGAACATCTCCGAGGTTTTCAAGTACAAACTTTTAGCTCATAGCTCTGTCATCTCTTTTTTTTTTTTTTGACCGAGGCGAGACCTAATTACAGTTTTGGACTTAGGAGGTCAAACCCTTTCGGTTGATTATTTGACCACGCCCAAGGCCTCGTAGATTAATTTACTCTAATCCTACCTAACATAATTTCAAGTGCTGCGGCTACTGAGGATTCCCTCTTGTTTTCACAATACTGCAGACTGTGTCCTTGTTGCTATATTTTACCCGCTGGCTGACACTAATGATCAGTTTTCGTACAAAAACGGCGCGTGTTTAGCACGTGATGACAGATTATCATACCATAATGAGAAGTTTGAGCATCACCTTCTACTCTTCTGTTCCTTTTTTTTAATTTAATTCTGTCAATATATATATATGGCAGTGATAATAATCTGGTTGATTTATGTTTAATCCCTGTTGTATCATAGGGACGTACTTGATACGCTCGTTATTTTCTCCAGGTGAGTCAGCGGTAACATTAGGTACTTAAACGTTAAAATTCGGAGTTCGATTCTTCGCAATGGACAAAGCTCGTGAAGCTTATTATGAGGTACCGCGCTGAAAAAAAAAATAAAACAACAAAAACACGCTCGCTACTTCTATTACCAGTAGCTTCATGGACGTACTTTGAAAAGGAGTTTTCTTTTTAAATTCAACGATATAGTGTTTGTTTGTTTGTTTTTGAATTTTACGCAAAGCTACACGAGGGCTATATGCGCTAGCCGTCCCTAATTTAGCAGTGAAAGACTAGAGGAAAGGCAGCTAGTCATCACCACCTACCGCCAACTCTTGGACTACTTTTTTACCAACGAATAGTGGGATTGACCGTCACATTATGACGCCTCCACTGCTGAAAGGGCGAGTATGTTTGATGGGACGGAGATTCGAACCCGCGACCTTCAGATTGCGAGTCAAGCACCCCTAACCACCTGGCCATGCTAGGCCTAAAGTGTTTGTTACTTTCTTCAGTAAAATATTTTACAAAATTGATCAATATAATAGTTCTGATGTTTCGTAAAATTTACAAATTTCCCATCTTGATCTGGAACGCGAAATTCCAGATCGTGAAAAAACCCACCCCTCTCCACATAGCGTATATTTTTAAATCATGAGGAAGGACCACGACAAAGTGGAGGAGACAGCAGGAAGCAGGTGATGGAGGGTGAAAATAAAATAAACGCGCCCTTTTTCCTATGATTCATTTAAAGTCAAAAGTTGAGAGCAGAAAGTGAGATTGTTTTTAACGACTTAGATGCCCAATTCGTCAAACTAGATAATTCAGAAAAGAAAGAGACGTAATAAAGTGGCCCAGTTAATCAATCACTTCTCTGATTGCCCCCCAGAAAAGAAACTGTTCTAGTAAAGTACCAGTTTGAAACAATATCAGTTATTAAATAACAGATTAAATTTGCCAAAGTTGTACATTACTGCTCATGGTTTTTAACCTGTCTTTCTTTTTGGCAGCATATAATATATCCCAGGGAAATCCAGTCTCCTAGAGGTTATATGTTTTGCACATCACAGGACTGCTTGGGGGTTTCTTCTAAATTTACTGAGTAATGTCTTTTTTTTTTGTAATTTTCTTATAATGTTGTGGTTTTAACTACAATGTTTCAAAGCTACTATAAAAAAATATATTTATAATTTCTGGCTAAAATCCTTTGTTTTGTAACGTCATATTCATTCACCTTGTAGTAACATTCAAAAATAGCTTGCGCAAGATTTCTAGGCCTAATACTTTCAGTTAGGGATCAACGTGGGCCAATGGCTTCGCGCTTTGAACTCATTTGCATGATGGGTACAACTGATTGTTTGTTTGTTATGGATTTTCGCGCAAAGCTACACGAGGGCTATCTGCGCTAGCCGTCCCTAATTTAGCAGTGGAAGACTAGAGGGAAGGCAGCTAGTCATCACCACCCACCGCCAACTCTTGGGCTACTCTTTTACCAACGAATAGTGGGATTGACCGTCACAATATAACGCCCCAAGGGCTGAAAGGGCGTGGATGTTTGGTGTGACGGAGATTCGAACTCGCGACCCTCAGATTGCGAGTCGAGCACCCTAACCACATGCCGGGCCAGGGTACAACTGTTAGCTGGGGGTTAACCTGCAATGAATTGGCATTCCGTCCAGGAGGGAATGTGTTACCATTCTCATCCGCTTGTGTAAATTAAGCCGGAGTTCACCATCAGATACTTTGTACTATCTCGGTACGAGACGGACTTTACCTTGATTGGCTCTCAGTCACGGAAGTTATTTAACTTGACGTCGTACATGCAGCGCACTCTACAGGCATCCAATATTCAAAACCTATTTAGGATAGATCACGAGTCTTCTCCAACATTCGGTAATTCGATGTTTTGGAATGATAAGAACCTCTCGCACAAGTTGATCCTGATCCTGTTTATTTATTATTTAGTTTATCCTAGCTAAACAGCTGCAGAAGTAAAGCAGTGAATATCGGAGAACACCCAAGATTTATCCCAGAATGTTTGGGAAAGCATGTTTACATGAATGCACGCGGAGTTCCCGACTTTCTCATGTGATCTACAAAGTATGTAACGATTGGAAATCTTGGGGATTCCCCTGGGATGTATCATATGCTTAGCCTGAGGAGAAAGGTTTAGCCATAGATTCTACAACTCAACACACACACACAAACATAATATTCGGCACAACCCATGTACAGGGTCAAATCAGCACTACAGACTTTCAATATGGTTCAGGGATGTTATAACATTTAGATACCGAACTGTGTTCATCTGATGAAAGTGAACCATGGCCATATTATTATCCCTTTACGACTCTCTAACAAAGAAACTTAAACATCGTAAAAACAATTCTCTCTTTTTTTAAATGTAAGTCCCACTGTTAACAATCGAAAAAATTATAATATTGGGATATGTTTCTTGCCATATTTGTTTCAAAACTGTTTCCATCTGTGTCTGTTTACTTGATATCCTCGGTGGGCATAGCGCAGATAGACCATTGTAACTGAGAAAGGAAGATTTTCACAGTACGTGTGTGTGTGTTTCAACTCAGTCGAGTTGATTTTTAGATACTTCGTTTTTGATCTGCTTCGGATATTCGCCCAAAGATACAGAAGGGCTATGTCCACTGACCATTCCTTATTTTGAAGTGATAAACTATAGGAAAGACTTGTAGTTAAGAGCACCCCTCGCCACTTTTGGCCTACTCTTAATCGAATATTGGAAGTTGAGTGCCACACTTATAACGCACTCACGGCCCCAAAGTGCAAAGCGCGATTTTGCGGCAACAGGGTGCGAACCACGAACCCTTGGGATCTCAGTTCGATCCCAAATACTTGATGCTTTTCTTTCTGATTTCGTACTAATTACTGCAAGCACGGCAGACGAAAAATCGTCACTAGCCGCCTAAATTTTCTATCACACACGTACGTGTTTAACAAATATCTTTACCAAGGACCTCCCCCACGCGCATTTCCCGATGATTAAGCAATAAACTAGAAAGTTCAAAACACGAAAAGTCTGAGATCGATACCCTCGGTGGGCAAAACTCAGACAGCATATTGCACAGGTTTGCGCTTAGCTTTCTGTTGTTACTGTTACTTCTATGATTCCTCTCCTCTTATCTATGACGTTGCGTGTAATGTTTTGATAGGCTAATAAGGACTTTATTTAATCCACCAGAAAGTTGATAGGTCACCTTTTTTTGCACCGTTCACGTACCTTAGTATTTGTTTTGTTAGTTTATAAAATCTAACATCTGGCAGAACAGTTTCAAACTGTAAGTGGCAGGTCAAGGCTAAGCCTATTAAAACTTAAATGAAAACATACGATAAAACACTTTCGTGTTGTTGCTGTTGTTTATTTCCTGGGCTCTTGCCTTAAGCCTATCCATAATTTATGTGACTTACGTCATAAAACCTTTCGGTTGGCCTTGATCTGAAAGGCATCAGGCTTATCACGTGCAAATACAGTTGAAATTTACATGTATTGGCGTATGTTATATCACGTTCGTTTCAGATCTGCTAATTTGTTATTTCTGCCAACGAGTCTGACCTCCTTGTACCCGCCATCTAAATGTTATCCACCAATGGAGATCAAGTTGCACAAATCTGCTGTTTATTGCTTACTTGGTTCGTAGAGCCGAAAGGACGACTTGCTGTTTATTGCTTACTTGGTTCATAGAGCCGAAAGGACGATCTGCTGTTTATTGCTTACTTGGTTCGTATATCCGAAAGGACGACTTGCTGTTTATTGCTTACTTGGTTCGTAGAGCCGAAAGGACGATCTGCTGTTTATTGCTTACTTGGTTCGTAGACCGAAAGGACGACTTGCTGTTTATTGCTTACTTGGTTCGTAGAGCCGAAAGGACGATCTGCTGTTTATTGCTTACTTGGTTCGTAGAGCCGAAAGGACGATCTGCTGTTTATTGCTTACTTGGTTCGTAGAGCCGAAAGGACGACTTGCTGTTTATTGCTTACTTGGTTCGTAGAGCCGAAAGGACGACTTACAGTTGACTACTACTACTATTCTCTTACAACTCTCCAAACTTACGTTCTTAAAACTGCTGGTTAACTTCCCATCTAGGACTACGTCCAACGTGGTAAGAGTTAAGAAGCTACTACACTATAAAGTGGATTTTATCAAGTGAACTTATTTGAAGTTTTGTTTAGATTTCATGAAAGAGATTATGTATAGATCAACAATGATAAATATCATTTATATAAAACCTTTAATTAACATACTTTTCATACCTATAATTGTGGATTTTGATGTCGTAAATTTCTGCCGGATCTCTCCAGATTCGGAAACAAGTTTCGGATCCCCCCCCCCCCCCAGTGGCATATCTGCGGAATTATACTTCTAGAAACCGAGTTTCGATACCCGATATGGAGGATAGAGCTCTTTGTGTAGCGTTGTGCTTAATATCAGACAACAACACGTTTCGGATTATATTTTTTTAATCTAAAAGGTGGAAACACTGTATAATTAATTTTTGATTGTCTCGGTTGCATTACTAGGCTGAAGTAGTCAACTGTGTTACTTCATCCTAAATAGTGGACTCAATAATGTTTAAAGTGTTATCTTCCAAAACTAACTCAAGATCCGCCAGGGACCTGTCAGCTGGGAGGTATCTTCCCCCCTCCTATAAATTCAGCACGGTCTTTCTTTACTTGATTAATTTTTTATATAAAGACATTCATGTGCTCCTCCCCCAGCCTCCGAAATGTGTGGGTGATAATTTTTTTTCTTAGTTTGTCGACCAGAACGGTAATGACTTAATTGATTACATAATTTGAGTCATCAATAGTGTAAAGATTGTAAGGAAGTTCGTATCAACAACAACCAAAAAAATGTCGGATAAAAATAATTAATTTTATATTTGTTACTCACCAGTGTTTGTTCGTTTGGTTTGAATTTCGCGCAAAGCTACACGAGGGGGGGGGGGGG